GAGAAAGGGAGAGGTAGAATGGGGTAAATTATCTCACAAAAAAAAACAGAAAAGAAAAGGCTCTTACAGTAGAGGGGAAATGGGGGAAGGTGAGAGGGAATGAGTGAATCTTATTCTCATAGGACTTGACTTAAGGAGGGAATAACATACACACTCAATTGGGTATGGAAATCTGTCTTACCCTACAGGAAAATAGGGGAAGAAGGGGACAAGACAGTAGGGAGATGATAGACAGGAGGGCAGATTGGGAAAGGGGGTAATCAGAAGCAAATACTTCTGAGGAGGGACAGGGTCAAAAGAAAGAATAGAATAAATGGGGGGGCAGGATAGGATTCAGGGAAATAGAGTTCGTTTTTCACCACATGTCTACTATGTAAGTATTTTGCATAACTGCACATGTATAGCCTATATTGAGTTGCTTGCCTTTTCAATGAGGGTGGGTGGGGAGGGAGGAAGGGAGAAAATTTGGAACCCAAAGCTTTAAAAACAGATGTTCAAAAAAAAATGTTTTCACATGCAACTGGGAAATAAGAAATATAGGAAATGAGATACAGAAATCTATCCTGCCTTACAGGAAAATAGAAGGGGAAGGGGATAAGAGAAGGGGGGGAGAGATAGAAGGGAAGGCAGACTAGGGGAAGGGGTATTCAGAATGCATGCCATGTTGGGGTAGGGGGAGGGGCAAGATGGGATGAAAATTTGGTACTCAAAATCTTGTGGAAGTAAATGTTGAAAACTAAAAATAAATAACTTTATTAATAAAAAAATTTTTTGATATTCACTTAAAAAAATTTTAGTTCTAAATTCAGTCCCTCCTTTCCTCGCCTCACCCCTCTCTGAGATGGTAAGTAATTTGATATAGGTTATACATGTGCAATCATGAAAAGATATTTCTCTATTAGTCTTATTGTGAAAGAAAACACAGACCAAAAAATAAAGAAAGTAAGAAATAGCATGCTTTGATCTGTATTCAGACTCCATCAGTTCTATCTCTAGAGGCAGATAATATTTTTCATCATGAGTCCTTTGGAATTGTCTTGAATCATTATATTGCCGAGAATAGTTAAGTCTTTCACAGTTGATCATCATACAATATTGCTGTTACTATATACAATGTTCTCCTGGTTCTGCTGACGGCACTTTGCATCAGTTCATGGAGGTCTCCAGTACTTCTTTAATCTGTTATAATCTCCTATCTCCACAATTTCACAAAAACTACTCTTTGAAAGTCACTACTGATCTTCAATTGAATCCAATAGATGTTGTTGTTTATTTTTGCAGTCCTAATTCTCTTTAAAGGATGTTTGACTATTTCATTCTACTTGAAACTCTCTCCTCTTTCTGATATCCAATGAAAAGTATACCTATCATCTGTTCAGTGACTCAAAATTGTAACTTTTTAAAAAAATTTATTAGAAAGAAAACATGTTATATTATGACCTACATTTATTTACAATGATTTGAGCCTCAAATGCTATATTAGTCAGGGCATACTTAAAAGAAACATTCGTATAATGTCTGTTGTTTCTCTGAAGATATACCTATAAGATCAAAGGATCATAGATTTAGGGCTGTAAGGGACTTTGGGGGTGAGTCCAATGCCCTCATTTTACAGATGAAGTTACTGTAACACAGTGAGCTTGAGTTAAGACAATGGAATTTGGTAAGATAGATAGATAGATAGATAGATAGCTCAGCTAGTTAAGTATCTGAGATAAGATTTGAACCCCATTCCTCTAGTCTTCTTTCTACTGTTCCATGCTGACCTCCCTCAAGTTTTATCCATTATTTTTACAAAGAACTTTTTATTCTTTCTTTCTCATTGTAAATCTGTTTTAGTTCATGTACAGTCCACCATTTTGTCTACACTAGAGATCTACATATCTTTGTATAGTAAGTATCCTCCCAGTAGGATAGAAGTTCCTTGAGAGCCAGTGCTGTTTTTAAATTTAGTATCCCTAATACTTAGCATAGTGCTTTGGCATACAGTGGTGAGCAAATTACTGGGGTCAAGGTAAACAAAATACTTAAATCTATTTCCTTATACAATAAACCTTACAAGTTTTTATATCTTTGAAAAACTTTTCATATGCAATATGTCCTCTTTTTTGGCAGTTCATTTTTCCAAGTTTAATCTTGACTAAAGTCCATAGATTTTCAATAGTGTTTAAATCAGGCAAATTCCCATAAATTTCTTAAGCTCTTATGATGTTTGGCATGGTACAAGGTCATGTTGACTAGACTTGGGAAAATGGACTATTCATCAAAGGTAAGATTAATATCCAATGTGTGGTTTCAATATCATCATCAACATAGCTAACATTTTTAGAGTGCCTACTATATGCCAGGCACTGTGCTAAGTGCTTTACAAATATCTCATTTTATCTTCACAACAAACCTGCAAGGCAGGTGCTATTATTATCCCATTTTACAGATGAGGAAATTGAAGCAAATGGAGGTTAAACGACTTGTCTAGAATCAAACAGTTGGTTAAGTATCTGAGGGCAGATTTGAACTGAGGTATTTTTTATTTCAGACCTAGTGCTCTATTCATTGGGTCATCCAGCTGCTCCAATAATTAAAGAATATACATCAAAATCCTTTAACCTCATTGTCAAATTGAGTAGAACAAGGGTCTGTGAGATAGAACATATAGTATATGAAAAGTTTTTTAAAGATGTAAAAAGTTGTAAGGTTTATTGTATAAGAAAATTTAAGTGTTTTACCTTGACCCCAGTAATTTGCACACCACTGCATGCACAAGAACACTATGCTAAATGCTAGAGATACAAAAATGAAAAATACTACTTGCTCTCAAGGGGCTCCTATCCTACTGAGAGGGAAATTACTATATAAAGATTTGTAAATCTCTAGTGTAGACAAAATGGTGGGTGGGGGAGATAGCATTTCCAAGAAAAAACACAAATAAGCAATTGCACTTTCATTACTATAAATGCTTTTAACATAAAGATTTTTTAAGAAAACAATTTAAATCACAACAAACAACTGGTGTTTTGTAGTTGTCAGATATGTTGTATGAAACTTAAGCTGTGGATGGCACAGGATACATCTTGGGTTTTGTACTTTAGCAGGTTGTATATGTTATTATTCAGCTTAAAACTTCTATCTACACTGTGTGTGGGGAGTGGGGGGAAGCTTAATTTGTAAAATGTAAACTTGTACAACAGATCTGGTTGAAGGAAACCAAACATAGGTCTCAAGTACTGAATCATCAATAACATCATTTTTGAAATCTTCATGAAGAAAATCTACAAAAGACTATAGGAATGGAAAAAAAGTACATGTAGATGCTAAATTTGAAAGTGAAATATGAAGTTGAAAAAGGCAAAAAACAACCCGGTTAACTGAGTCACTGAGGATATTTGTAACATTTCAATTCAATGGTAGCTCAAAGTGACACTAGGTTACACTACTAACACAAGGTAATATTAGGTACTAGTTAGTAAAAACTTAGTACTAGGTAAACCCAGTGGGCAAGCAGGTTAATATAGTTTTAAGAAACATAATTTTTTCATTCTTAGAGAGGGAATAAAAAAAATTTTAACCTTAAAATTTCATCTAGGCACCTTGTGATAGTTAACTTCTAGGCAGTTTTCATTAACAGCTTTGGAATGGAATTATTTGGAACATATCAAAAATGAAATATGAGTTGATCCAACAAGAATTATTAATTAAATTTCATTATAAATATAAAATGTACTGATTTTTTAAAACCATGTTATTACTTGCTAGAGGCTAAAAAACAGCATACCAATACATTTATAGGAAACATTGTTATGCAACCTTCAACATAAAGTTTTAATTTATTGTCCTTTGGGCTGATTTTGCTGACTTTCAAGTTGGAATAAATTAGAACTATTTTATCTATAGAACAAAACAACTTGGCAAATTACTATAAATGGTATACAGTGCAATGAGGAATTCTCCAGGGTCATGAGGTGAACTTCCATGGCCAAATCAGTACTGACCATTTCTAATACAGCATATTAGCACAGTGGTTTGTACACAAGGCGCATTCAACCAATGTTTCCTAAAGAAACAAATGCCCAAAGATGAAAAATAGTTGACTGAGTAAATGAACTACCACAGCCGCTCTTATCACAGCCAATATTCGGTTGACTTTACTGAGCACAAGTATCCCATTCCTACCACCCATTATTCTCAGTTGCCTAGGTAACGACCTTCAAAAGTATGATTGCCTTTTGCCTGTGTTTCACTTATTATATTTAATAATGTCCAGTGTTCAATATTATGAGGAGAAAACAAACTGAACATACCAAACCAACCACAAAATAAAACCACATCTCCCATTTTAGCAATAAATATAGGAAAATTCATCATAATAAAGGGATTACAAACCCTATGTTGAAAGAAATTAGAAATGCTAAAGGAAAATAATCTACAAGGAAGGATTAAAAATGCTTATATGTTGGTGACTTCAGGCATATAACAAATAATCACATTCTCTCCTAAGCAGTTGTAAGAGAGTCACATAGAACATGAGGCATTAAATACTTTCTTGAGCTGAAGTAAAACCTCCACTTATTGTGGTATTCAAATTGCAAGAGTGATAGTGAGTGATAACCTGGATTTGAAAATCAGTATCCTAAGATCACAAATTGTAATTATTTTTTAAATCAAATTTTTCTATTTATAGTCTCCTTCAGCTGAGTGCCCTCTAGTGTTAATCAAAAATGTGGAACATGCGTTAGTAGTATCAAATTGGACAGACATTGACACTAGACACACTTGAAGATTTCAAAACGGTCTATGGAAAGAGCACAATGACTTAAAGTCACTGGAAATTTAAAAATATATGCAAGGAAAAGAAAAAAATCAATATTCCTTATAACAAAAAGTTTAATAGGCACATTACTAAAATGAATAAAATGGTCCCCGATATAGTACATTTTTTGTCATTTTGAGAAAGACAAGTTAATGGCAAAGCTGCTATCTCTTAAAAAAAAAAAGCAACTGACCTCAAAACATTTTTCCTTCTTAGCTTGATGGAGTAGGTTAGCCATTCCAGGAAGCAACACTGGAAATACAAAATTTTCTAGATATTCTCTGGGAGAACCTAGGAAAAAATTATAATAATGATATGCTATTTTAAAATACATTTCATCTATTACTGTTAACTTGAAGAAAAGTGAGATTTCCACTGAATTAAAAAAGATAACAAATAAAAACTAGATCTGTGATTTTATTGTTATAGGATACTCCCAGGTGAGGAAACTCCCTGTACTAATGCAGGGCATCACTTTCTCTTGAAGAGTTACCTAAAGGAGTGGTGTCAAACCCAGATTGAAATAGGGGCCATAAACTGTATATAAGGGTCCCTACAGATTACATATATAGTTAGAAAATCACATATGAACAACATTATCTATGTTTTATTGTATTTTTATTTATTTTGTTAAATTATATGTCGAATTATATTTTAATCTGGTTTGGGCTACACGGGGCCTCTGGTCTAGAGCACTGAGAGCTTAATGACTTTCCCAGAGTCACACAGCCAGGGTATGTCAGAGGTCAAACTTGAAGCATGGTCTTCCTGGTTTATAATAAACAACCAAATCATCACCGTCATCATTATCATCTTTATATTTTATAACATCTTACATCAGGGATATGCCGTATTATTGAAGAATCTTATTATTCCTAAAACATTTTTTTTACCAAGTTTGATCTTGGTTTGTTTGTTTCTTTGGGTTCCCCAACATTCACAAGGGTTCAAACAGTCAAGTAGAAATGGCACTGATCTGTAAGACAAAAGATCTTTGTCTAAATTCTAGCTCAAATCATTTTACTCTTCTAAATTCAAACTTCCTCATATGTGACTAGAAGTACTCTACGTGTACTATCTGCATAACAGTGTTGTTGTGAGAAAAGTACTTTGTAAATCTTAAAGTATTACGTAAATATAAACTAAATGTGAACTAGTCAACTAGATAAAAAGCTTTAGCCTGATGTTGGGGGGAGTGGGGGACAAGGATTTTTTCCAGGAAACAGGTAATGAAGCAATCTTAATCTCTAAAAGATTAAGTTGTCTTCAACCTCTCTCCCTATCTATTGGTTGCTTCCCTAGTGCCTTTAAACAGGCCCAAGTCTGGCCCATCCTAAAACAAACAAACAAAAAATCTTTCCATAGACCCTCAAGCTATCATCACTCTTTCTCAGCCAAATTCCATGAAAAATTTGTCTATATTCTCTGATTCTTTTCCTCTAATTCATTCCTCAACTTTTTGCAATGTGGCTTCCAACCTCATCACTCAACTGAAACAAACATCTCTAAAGTTACCAATCACCTCTTAAATGCTAAATCTGATCATCTTTTTTTTTTTTTCAGTTCTGATCCGTCTCAATTTTCTGCTACAGTCTGACTACCTTCTCCTACCAGATGCTCTCTTTGTGATTTCATAACATGACTGTCTCCTGGTCCTCCTACTGTCCTCTCAGTCTCCTTTCCTGGCTCATTATCCAAATAAAACCGGTTACCTAGTTGTGTGCGATCCTCAAGGTTCTGAACTAGGAACCTATTCCTCTCTACCTTCTTTCTTGTTGACCTCATCAACAATGATCATTTAATGTGGATTTAATGATCATTTCTATGTGGAGATATGTATGTGTGTGTGTGCATGTTTGTGTGTATCCAATTATATACATCCAGATCTATATATCCAATTCCAGTCTCGCCTATTAGTTCCAGACCTGTATCACCAATTGCCTCTTGAACATTTTAAACTGGATGTCCCAGAGTCATCTCACCTCAACATGTCCAAAACTGCACTCATTATTTTTTCCCTAAAACCCTCTCCTCTTCCAGACTTTCCTATTTCTGTCAAAGGCACTACCATATTTTTAGGCACCTTGGCCTTGTTCCCCCTCATTGTCCCTCACCCCACATATCCAATCAGTTGCCAAATTTTGAAGTTCTAATTCCGTAACACTTTTCTTACAGAAACCATTCATTCTATCCACTCACTCAGCCATCACCTCTGTTCAAGCTAGTCTAGCTGAAGTCACAAGGCAATCAGAGAGCCAGGAGGCAGCACAGGCCAGACAAGTCAAATAATCTCTACTTTGACCACCACCTTCCCTCAGATACCAATGAAGAAAGCTCAGGACCCTGAATCCAAGTCTTGGAAATAACAATGCCCCCTAGGCCACTAGTCCTGCTTCCAGCCCGGGATCCAAAACCATCATTGAGGGGAATAATCTCTGTGGATGGAGGACCTACTTTCCTTACCACCAGCAACATTAGTGGATGACCTGCTGTCACTAACAAGTAGGAATACCCAAGATCCCTAGAAATGATAGTTCCCCAGAGGACTGGTCCTGTCTCCAGTCTAGTCCCTAAAGCCATCATTTTAGGAAGCAGCACCTGTGGAAACAGGATCTGGCAACTGCTTTGGTGGTCCTCAGCAGTGGTATTGAAAACTAGAAAAAGCAAGTTCTCAACACCAAAATCCTTTGCACTCTTAAATCATTCATCATCAAGAAACAGATAGGATTTTATCAGTATTAAATGATATTAAAGAAGATGCATTACCGTATGATTCACGCATTACCGTATGATTCACCATGTACCCTGAGAACCATAGGACCTTTCCATTTGATTTGCAGCTGATGCTGATTATATATGTTGTCTCAGTGCTTAATGTAGCATTTTGTACTAAGTGTTTTATAAATGCTTTTTCGTTCATAACCTATTGCCAAGATAATTGCACAACAGCTTCCTAATTGGTCTCACTGTCTCAAATTTCTCCCCACTAAAATCCATCCTCCATACGACTGCCAAAGTAATTTTTCTTAAACATAGATCTGACCATGTCACTCCCCTACTTAATAAATTCCAATAACTTCCTATTGAATCTATAATAAAATAAAAACTCATCTCTTTAGCTTGTAATGCCCTTCACAAGGTAATCCCAACCTATTGTTTCTGTCTCATGGGACATCAATCCCCCTTCCTGCCCTCTATATTCCAACCAAACTGGTCTTCCCTCTGTTCTTCACCCACAACAATGCCATTCCAATTCCATCCCACCACCTTACATGCCTTTGTATTGGCTATCCTCCATGCTTGGAAGGCACTCCCTCCAGTTGGCCTCATAGAATCCCCTCTTTTACTTCACTATGCATCTCAAGCACCACCTTCTAAACCTTCTATTTGATACTCAATTGCTCAAACCCTCTCCTCTCAAACTACCTTGTATTAGCTACTTTGTATTCGTTTTCATTTATTCTCTTTATATTTATTTTATATACACACATACATGTATTTTTGTTCTTCCCTAGTAGACTGTTAGCCCTTTGCAAGTAGAAATTGTTTGATTTGCTGTATTTATATCCATAGGGTCTAGAATACTGCTTAATACTTATTGATTGACTAATTATTAAGTAGCTTTTGCTAACAGAGGTTTCAAGGCAGGGAGCTAATAAATTGACTAATAACTGCCAAAATTAAAAAAAAAGATTATAAAAACTAAGTAATTCCTTTACAAAATCCAAAGCCTCAGATTTTTTTTCATAGGAAAACAGAACTTTATTTGAAAAATAAACTTTTAATTTTAAAAAGAAAAAAGAATATTCCAGTATAGAAATAATTACATATGTATGACTATTTATACGTATGCTTAAGAACTTACAGGATGCATGCTTTTAATGGTATGACTGACTCCCTCCATTGTCCCAGATCACAATCTTTATATAACTTCAGAGGTGATCTCTGAGAGGGGCTGTGGCCAAAAACTTTATCATCCAGCAGCCAACCTGGGGATGAGCCTTTTTATACTTAGCTACCCTGGTCTACAGATAACAGCTATAAAGTATATTTAGATACTAAAAAACTTTTCCAAGTTGGTAAAGCCTGTCAAGTGTTTGTACTCCTTTCAGAACCTAGATGAATAATTGTTGAATAATTGTAGCTGCATAGATCTGGTATATAAAAGTGTAGAAATTGTTGGCACAACAATATTTCAAAGTTTAGTGATAACAGGTAATAACGTTGATGCCCATGATTAATTGTGTTGGTTATTAATTTTGCTTGTCTATTTGTTTCAAGGGTTTTGTTTTTTCTTTTTTCTTTCACCAGTAAGGGGTGGGTGGGAGAAAGAAGAAATAAATGTTTGAAAATTGAAAAGAAAAGGTAAATTTAATTAAAATAAAAATAAGACCCAAAAAGCTCCCAACAAACCACTGATGCCCAGCATCCAAGTGAACAACAGAGAGAAGAAAAGATACTTATCATAAAACCTCCTGAGCCACCCAATCCATGTGTCTCTTTGTCAGGGTCTTTTTACATCTTTCTATCATTCTTCCTCTTTGCTTCCCACTTCCCTTACTTACCTAACTGTCCAGCATATAGCATTGAAGTGTGTGTGTGCATATGCACATTCAATTCAGTAAATATTTATTAGGTAACTAAGTAAATCTATGTGTCATTTGTCTTGTTTATTGAGTAAATACAACAAATAAAGAACATCATTTTTAAACTAAGTTTTTCTTCATCTAAGAAGCCTCCTCCAGACCTATTCTGATGTCCTTTCTTAGTGTGGATATGACCCGAGATTCTTAAAGGCTATGCTAGCACAGCACAATTTCTGGTAGGATCTGCCAAGCTGCAAAGTTATGGATGGGCCCAGTGATCAACTATGGGTGTGTCTTCTAAGAACCAGTTAAGTTCAGAGAGACTCATTGCCAGAATATATGAATGAATTTTTCAACCAGAGCAGTGCATCAAGAAGGCTATGAGGATGAGGAGGGGTAAGAATCAATCAGCATGAGTGGAGATGATGTCCGAAACAATGAAATCATGCACTCTTGAAGAACTGAAGTACAACTTTAAAAAGAAGTGAAATATTTTTCGCCTTTAAAAATTAAAAATAAACTAAGTTTCTTTTTTCATGTGACCCTCTTTTGATTTTTTTCCCCCTAAGGGTACCCACCCAATGCTCTATGGTAATGTCAAAGGGAAACCAGAGAGGATATTTTCTTATTATCTTACTTACATGTTTTGGGGTCAAAAACTTCTGGAGCTTCAGGTGCTACACAAGGTACATCTTGGACAATGGCATAATTTGGGGTAACTTGAAAAAAGTGTTCTGGACTTAAACCTGGGGAAACTGTTGCCTCCAATGGAGCAGAAACCTTTAAAAATCAATTTACATAAATGGTATAAATAATTTGGTTTTCCTTTATAGAATCACATAGAATTCAATATTAAATGTCTTTCTGGTGACCTAGATGCTGCAATTTCTTTTTTAATGATTACAATGGTATTATAATCATAAGCAGTTAGGTTTTTATGCCTTCCTATATTAATAAAGGCCAAACAGTATGAAATTCCTTGTTTCAATGACATCACAGATCCAGTTCCTACCTCATATATGTGCAAAGATATTACCATTGAGCATGCTGTAAAAAAAAAAATCATCAGATACTTACATAAAGAGAACTGTATTTGCAATCAGAAAATCTGGGTTCCCACTCTGGCTCCAATTACTATTAGGTGTGATTATGAGCAAGTACTGAATATTAAGAAGATATACCCATCACAACATACAGGAAAAAGAGTGGGAACATAATGGAGAACATCTGGATGAAGATCAACAGAGGCAGAAAGGAAAGTAATATTAACACTAAAATATATTACAGATCACCTGAGCAGAAAGAGGGAATACATGAGGAACACAGAAAACAGATCATAAGCCCAGCATAAAGACATAATCTAGAGGGATGGGGGACTTCAACTATCTGAATATTTGTTGGATTTTTTTCTCTGCCAAAAGCAGAGCAGCTAATAAATTCTTAGCTTTCCTTAATGATAGCTCGGCCCTTCAAAAGGAAGAAGTGACAAGGGCAACTATTATTCTGGATCTGATTTTTACCAATAAAGAAAAACTGGTTGCTGAATTATAAATGATTGGAATCTTGCAGCAAAGTGAACACTCCATTTTAGGATTTGTAATAGGGGAGAGAAAAGCCAAACATGGTATAACATGAACCCCTACATTTTGGATTACAGATATCAAAGGGCTTGGACAAAATACAGGGAGAATTCCATAGCTTGGAGCTCTAAAGGAAAAGACATTTCAGAAAGAATCAAAAGTTTTCAAGAGGAAAATTCTTTTTAAAAATATTTGAACAGGTATCTTTTGTTTTTATCACCTTCATTTCCGAATATCTCTCCTCTCCAGAGAACCATCCCTTGTAACAAAGAATAAAAGAGGAAAAAAAAATCAACAAAACTAATCAAGACATTGACAGAGTCTGACAATATAGATATTGTTCCACTCCTATAATCTCCCAGAGACATGACTGAATAACAACAACAACAACAATTTTAGCATAAGGTACTAGCAGCTGGAGAAGGATCAGGAAAAACTTCAAGCAGAAGATGGTTCATGAACAGAGCCTTGAAGAAAACTAAGAGTAACAACAGGAAGAGGTGAGGAGGAGGCTCACTGCAGAAATGAGGTACAGGCTTAGAGATGGGAGCCCCATGTAGTAAGAGTAGACAGGCCAGATTTGCTGGACAACAGTGTGCGTGAAGGGGACTCATGTGGTATAAGGCTGGAAAGGTAAATTTCAACCAGGCTATAAAGGGCTTTGAATGATAGAGGAGCTAGAAGGAATTATTGATATTTGATCCTGGAGACAAGAGGGAGCACCTGGAGTTTTTATCAAGTAGGGAAGTGACAGGGCCACGTGTGGAAGCTGGACTGAAATAGAAAGACTTGAGGCAGGGAGACTGAGCAGGAGACTACTGCAAAAGTCCAAGTAGGAGATGAGATAGACCCAAAGGAGGGTGAAAAATGAGGAAAGATGGAATTAAGGGCACATGTACAGATACCACATGGATTGGTTAAAGTAGGAGGAGCTATGCAATAGGACAGAAGACTTAGAGACTGCTTAACTATTAGAAAGGCTGACATATGGATGTAGAACTAGTAGCAATGGGTAGGAGCTGCAAAGAAGTACATTTAAGTCCAGTATGAGGAAAAATGTAACAAATAGAACTTTCCAAAAAGGGAATAGGCTGTGTACGGGTAGTAACAAGTTTCTAAAAGCCCTTCAAGCCTTGCTAAAGACCTGAAATGTGCCCAGCATCCCTATCACTCTAATGAAACTGATGCTCTCTCTACTATCACTAACAAATTACTAACTATCAAATTTTATGGTTTCTTCTCTATCCTTATTCTCTTTGACTTTCTGCTACATTTGACATACTTAAACTTGCCCACTCCCTCTTGAAATTGTCTTTCTCTGGCTTCTACAACATCTAGACCATTTTTGTTCTCTCCCTATATACCTCACTGACTACTTCTTTCCTCTCTTCCTCTGTTAACTTCCCTTTTCCACTTGCTCTCTTAGGACAGGTGTTTAGCAGGGCTTAGTCCTTAGCCTTCTCTTCTTGCTAAATTCAAAGAGTACGTCTATTTTCAGGGTTTCAATGGTCACTTATATAGCGATGACTGCCAAATTTATATCTCTCCCAAATACCAGTTCTTTATCTCTATTTGATGTGGATTTATTTTCTAAATTAAATTTTTAAATACAAAAATCTATTTTCTTTTTCTCCCAATAAAAAAAGAAAATCCTTATAACAACTACGTATAATCAAGAAAAACAAATTGCCACATTAGCCATGCCAATACATACATATGTAAATCTTCATTCTGAGTCCATCACCTCTCTACCAAAAGGTAGGTAGCTTGCTGTACATTTCTATTTGGATGCCTTGTCACCTCAAACTTAGGTACACATTCCTGACACAGTTTTCTGACCGACCAATAAACCAGGCAATATTGCACACATTCTCCAAAGATAAATGTATACATCTACTAAGCAAAAGAGAAATAGGTACATGTGAGGTAAAATACAACCAAGGAAATTTCAGTTCAGTGGTACAAGAAATATGTTGAACAACATTATCTATAACCTGTGGCCCAGAACTGTTCCAAGTGACTCCCCATGCTTTCTTCTTCTGGGAGAGTTTTACCTCCAGGGTAATCCTTTGAGGGAAAGAAGAAAGGAGAGTTGTCTTGACTGTTTTTGTTAGCTCTTTCTATTTTGAAATTTTGTCCAACTAAAAAGAGCCAGTCTTCTATTCAATGTATTGTTTGACTGAATGTTTTCATGATCACAAAGGGTCCTTTATACTTTCTGGAGAGACCAAGACACAAGATAAATTCCGATGTTCCCAGTGGAAATCTTCAGTGAAAGAATAAGCCAAAAAAGAGAATACTTAGTGAGAAGCCCCCTAAGATTGAACTCAGACCATGTAAATAAACCCAGAACCCATAAACAGAACAATTCTGTTTTCCACTTTGGTGCGTTTCCAGAGTCTCCAAAGGATTACCCTAGTTTTACACCCATCTTCCCCCCAAAGGCAAAAGCATTTCAGGTCACTCAAGTTAAACCCCTTCCCTGAGACCTGTACAATACACACAATCCAGGACTGATAAAGTGCACGTTTTGCTCTTCTACATCATGATCTGTTCCTTATTGCTAATAGGCCTCTTTTCATCCAGGAATTCTCCTGATGGGTCTAGGAATTTGCCATTGTTCAGAGTTTCACCTCTTCTCTCTAGGAGACTTAGTCTTATAACTCAATATTGTCCAGGAACTCCTTATCTTCTCTAGGAACCTTGGATTAGGAGCTTAGTGCTGACCTGGAATTCCTCTTACGAGGCTTGTAAAGTAAGGAATTCCTCTGTTTTTCTAGAATTACTCCATTGTTCTGCCACTAGCAATCATTGCTTTTTCTGTGCCTGTCCTCTTGTGGTGTTACATGGCTCGTGTTGAAGCCTGAAAGATGCACAGGCTTCCCCTCAATGGAAGAGAGTCCAAGTCTCTGTAGCCCCTCTCATCAGTGTCTCTCAGCTCGGTTTCTCTCCCTCTCCTTATTTCCCCTATTTAAAGGTCTAGTATTCCCAGGGAATATAGCTCAAGTGCTCTGAAACTAATAAACTGAATTAATGTAAAAATCAACTAGCCTTGGTGTCCATGGGGTAGCAATGAGAATTCATATACCATGAATGTCTGAACCAAAACCTCAAATGTAGTTGCTTGCCCCTTTGTGTTAGAGAACATCTACAACATCAAAACAAAGACTTCATTCTTTAGCCTTGTTAACTTCTTAATCTTGACCATGCTCCTCCTAGACATACCTTCTACATATTCAATAAAGTAGGACTTGGACACTTCTCTTTGAGTATAAAATCTGGCCCAGCCTCCACTTGTGGCTAAATCCACTTTTCTAGGTTTTCTTAATAGACAAAAGTACAGGGAAAGATAACAAAGCATGGCAAAGTTAAAAAAAAAAAAAGACACACTAAGCAAAGTGTGGGAAATTACACAGCTCTTTACTTAAAAGGGAGTTTATGGGGCAGCTAGGTGGCGCAGTGGATAGAGCGCCGGCCCTGGAGTCGGGAGGACCTGAGTTCAAATCCGGCCTCAGACACATAATACTTCCTAGCTGTGTGACTCTGGGCAAGTCAGTTAACCCCAATTGCCTCACTAAAAGAAAAAAAAAACACAAATAAAAAATAAAAAGGAGTTTGTTACTTCAGTCAAACTGCAAACAAAATCTGCATACTGTGGACTTGCCTTAGAATGTTAGAGCTGGAAAGAACCTTAGAGTTCATCCAGCTCTCCTTTTACAGATGTGGCAACTGAGGCCCAGAGGTGTTAAGTAGCACCAAGGTAACAGTAAATTAGTAACAGAGAAGATATAAAAAGACAGGTCTCCAAACTTTTGTTCTTTTTCAAGTTCAACACACTGCTTTTCCACTGTGAGGACACAGTGAAAGAAGTTGCGAGGGTAGTTTCAGCAAGGAAGTTAGTTTATTTGGCACCAAAGGTAAAGTATTATTTGTGTAGGTGATGTTTAACATCACCCTTATTCATGCTATAAGTTCATTGAAGACCATGTTTTATTCATCTTGTATTTCCCACAATATATGCATAACAAACAAAACTGCACATGCTCTTGAACAAAGTTGAGTAGATTTTGATTTCCCAGAAGAAACCACTTGCTAAATCTACTTCAATGGCATAGAAGAGTTAATGCATTTCTAAACATGTCACAAGCCTGTAACTACCCAAGTATAAGACAGGTTTTTGTTAATAATTTAGGCTACAAGTACTAAAGAGTAACTTCTTCCTTTGTGATAGAACAATTGTTAACAGAATTCTCAAATTTTAAGAGAAATCTCAAAAATTCTCAAGTTGCTAGTGCATAATTTTAGTATTTATTTAGTATTTAGTGCCGCAAATTAGTTCATATTGCCTCTTCAACCAAAAAACTGTTAGTGAAAGTCCAGGGACTGAGTAATACTCACAGTAATCACTGGCTGTTGTTTTACTTTATACCCTTCTGGAAAGGGAGGCTGCTCAGCTTCATATTCTAAAAAGGGAAAACATAACAGCAAAGCCCAAATATGTTTTGGCAAAGGCTTTCATACTTTAATGCCCTTTGTGAAGTTATTTTAAACTTTAGTTGGTAATTTTAAAAATGACAAAACCTCTTTTTCACAAATATGAGCTTAATTAACTTTCAATTTACCCCCACAATCCTTTGATCTTTAGGGATGGGGAGGAGGAGTGACAGTGCAGCTAATGAATATGTGTGGAGGATGGGCGGGGAGCAATGGGGAGTAATGCTGATCTGGAAGCTACTATGCTCCTCTTCCTTCTGAATGGGAATTTGCAGAAAACAGAGGGAGGCTGGAGTAGGGCAGCAGATTCTGGGATGAGTAAGAAGGCTATCACTGGCAGGTAACTGAGAAATCAAAGAATCAAAGAACAAACCTCATTTCAAGTAGAGATTATGTCATCTTTTTCTACTTACATCCCTAGTACACAATATAGTGCCTGGTTCATAAAAGGCATTTAATAAATACTTGATGATTTATTGATGAAGGATCATCTAATACAATCCCACCATCTTACAGATAAGGAAAGTGAGGCCCATAGATATCAAAGGACTTGCTAAGGACCACATAGCTAGTTAACAGCAGAGCCCAGAGTAGAAACCAGGTCTCCTGATTTTCATTCCTTGAAACACACAAGACATCTTTCAAAAAATAATTCCTCTCTAAATAAATAAATCCTTAGATAAATCCAACAAACAGATTTCTAAGTGCCTACTAGGTGGAGAGTACCATATTTATCCCTCAGGACATACATGGTTTACCTAAAACACAAGCCTTCCCTTACAGTATTTACATTACAGTCTAGTTGTTTAGTCATTCAGTGGAGTCTGTCTTTTTGTGACCACCCCCCCAATTTGAGGTAGTAGGGCAATATAAAAAAAATAAGTAACTATAATGCAAAATAATACATAATAGGTACATAAAAGAAATGCAAAGTCTTATGTGAACTCAGAAAATACAGAATAATTCTGCACACATTTTCAGACATGAACAATGTATGAATTTGCTTCGACTATACCTGTTTGTTACAAAGGAGGGCTCTTATTTTGGGGGAAGATGGGGAGGACAGTACATGGGTAAGTATTAATAATGATGAAAAAAAAAGAGCTTCAATGAAACATTAAAAATATGCAAGGGAACAGAAGAAAGTTTAGAATGGAAGTTAGCCAAACATGCCTGTTTTGATATTATCATGTTGAAAATAATACACATTTTAAAAAAGTGAATGTAATAGGAGCTCAGTTTCATATACAATCTTCTTTTTGTGTTCTTTGTATATATATTTATTCATGTTTGTTAAGTTAATGAAAAAAAAAAAAAGACTCACATTGATTCCTGGCATCAGAGAAGGCTTCATGGAAGAAGTAGCATTTATACTGTGCTTTAAGAGATGGGTATGATTTCATTTCAACCCAATTCAACAATCGTTTATGAAATGCTTACTTTATGCAAACTACTGTACTAGGCATTGAGTATATAAAAATGAAAAAACAAAGAAACCACTGTCCCTGTAATTAAGGAGCTTACAATCTAATGAGGGATTAAAATATAAATGCAAATAACTTTAGCACAAGATATAAAATGATTACATGAAAAAATAATAAATACTGTAAAAATATCATAGAGGTCCAGATTAGGTTTCAAAGGGTCTGTAAGCTTGGATGGGAAAAAAAATTACATCTTTATTTTCAACCTCTAACTGAAATTTAGCATTTCCTTCAATTATGATTTTTAAAAAATTATTATTCTGAAAGGGGTCCATAGGTTTCCCCAGACTGTTAAACAGAGCCATGACACAAAAAAGGTAATAAACCCTTAATAAAATATTACTGAGGGAAAAGGTGGATTTAGAGAAACATGGGATGACTTATATGAATTGATACAGAGATTAATGAGTAGAACCAAGAAAACAATATATACAGTGACTACAACATAGTAAAGAAGAACAGTTTTGAAAGACAAGGACACTAATCAATACAATCACCAATGAGAACTCAAAATATGCAGAATAATATACACAATTTTGTATAAAGTCTATGTATGGATTTGTTTTGCTTGACTATGCTTATGTGTCACAAAGGAGGCTTTGTTGCTGTTGCTGCTGCTGCTGCTGTGTTTTAATACAAGAGGGAAGAGATTTGGAGGAATGGGAGGGAGCAATAAAGAGGTCCAAAAAAAGAACAAAAATATGGTTACTGAAGCACTTAAAAATACACAGAAGAGTATGCAAGTTCAGAGGAAGACACAGCAAAACAACACAGATCTAAAATTAACATGCTGGAATGTATTAAACATTTTTTTAAAAAGCACACTAGGATATTCATAGTTTCATATATAGTTCCCTTTTCTATTCTTCTTTACATATAAATTATTCATGTTAATTAATGCTTGTCAAGTAAAGAAAAAATAAAAAAATAATAATTTTTTGAAGAGTAATGAACTGAAAACCAAAAGACCTGAGTTCTAGTCTAGTTAACTAACTGTATGACCTTGGTCAAGTCTCTTAACATGGAGAGAACAAATTATAAGGTGTGGAAGAATAACTTCTAGCTTGTAGAATCAGTAAATATATCAGTGAAGAGATATCTCCAGAACTGCGCATTGAAGTTTATACTTATTTCAGGAATGAGAGATGTTCACAGGCAGAAGTAAGTGAAGGTGGGATGGGCTCAGGAAATAGACCAAAACTGGCTAGAGTGTACAACGAGTAAATAAAATTAATTGGGAAAGGTAGATTGGAGTCCTATTATGGTGGGACTTGAATACTAGCCTGTTCAGTAGACAATAGGTGAAACTAAAAGTTTTTTAGCAAGAGAGTGGCATGGTCAGACCAATGCATCAAGAAGTTTAGATTAGCAATGGTTATGAAGAATGGAGAGGAGAAAGATGGGAGACAGAAAGCTATTGTAATCGTCTAAGTAAGAGGCCTGAATTAGAGCAGTTATCAATAGAACTAGGGAAGTTATGCAGAAGACTTATAGGACCATGGACTTTACAGCTTACCTAGTCCAAACCCTTCATTTTACTGATGAGAAAACTGAGGTCCAGAGTGGCAAGAAGGACTTGTCCAAAGGCACAGAGTAGCAGGGCCAAAATTTGAATCCAGTTCCTCTGATTCTAAATTTAGCACAAGTTCTACTTCACCAGTTTTAGAAGGGAAATAATGAGTTCAATTTGAGACATACTGAGTTTGATATGTCAATGGAACAACCAGGTAGTTGCACAACTGGAGATAAGTGAGAGGTCAGAGTTAGAGATACAGATTTTGGACTTATTCCTAAAGAGTTGAAAGCATAAGAAGAAAATTTGCCAAAGGAGAAAACACAGAGAATAGAGTGCTCATAAGTGCTCAGTGAAGTCGGAGCAGAACAAAGAATATAAAACATGAGAGGAGAGAATATCAAGATGGAGAAGGTGGTCAACAGTTTAAAGGCCAAGGACACCAAGAGCTAAGAAACATTATTATAAGGAGCAGAGAGAAAGAGGTGACTATGAAAGAAGATATAGATTCTAAGGTCATAGATTTGTAGATTATAGATTTAGAGTTGGAAGAGAGCTTAGAGGTCATCTAATAAAACCTCCTCATTTTACAGATGAGGAAATTGAGGCCAAGAGAGTTTAAAGGACTTGCCTCAGTTCCCACAGGTGGCAAAGCAATCTGAATCTAGGTGCATTGATTCCAAATATAACTTTCTCCCACTGTACCGCACAACCTTACCAAAGGGGGTTAAACAACCTAAAATTGGAGTACTCAATCTTCTCAGTAAAATTGAGGAAGAGATCACATGCTAAATAGAAGGGGGTGAAGATACAGGGGAGAGAAGAAAGTCTGGAAGACCCATTTGGGGGACTATAAGGACTCTAAGAGAGATTAATAATCAACCAACAAGCATTTAATTAAACACCTATGTAACAAGAACTGTGCTAGGGTTCAGGGGATACAAAGACAAAAGTAAACTAATCCCTGCCCTCAGGAGGCTTACATTCTATTGAGGGAACAGTATGTACAAAATATATATAGGGTAATAATGTTGGTAGGGAAGGTACTAGCAAGTGATAGGATCAGGAAAGATATCAATAGGATAGATAGCATGGAAAAAGATTTGGGGAAGATGCCCAGAAATACTTTTAGGAATATTTTGAAAGCTTCTAAGTCAAAATTGAATATCTAATGCTGATTATAAATTATTGGTGCTTGAACCAGGAGAACATTGTACACAGTAACAGCAACATTGTGCGATGACTAATTTTGATAGACTTAGTTCTTCTCAGCAATTCAAAGGTCTAAGACAATTCCAAAAGATGGAAAATACTATTTATATCCAGAAAAAGAACTATGGAGTGTGAATGCAGATCAAAGCATACTATTTGCTCTCTTTCTGTTGTTGTTTCTTCTTTCTCCTGGCTCCTCGCATTGGTTCAAATTCTTCTTTATAACATGACTAATGTGAAAATATGTTTAATATGAACATATATAGAGAGCCTATATCAGATTGCATGCCATCTTGGGGAGGGGGGAGAGGAGTGAGAGCGAGAAAATTCAGAACTCCAAATCTTATGGAAGTGAATGTTGAAAACTAAAAACAAATAAATTAATAAAAAATGAAAAGAAATTACTGCTGCTTTCAAAACTAGTTTACTTTTATTTGCAATTTTTTAAAAGATAACTATCCTGAGATTGCCTAGGCTCTTCAAAATCTGTTGCTACCTTTTCAGCCTGACCTGATACTATTTATATAACCATATTGTCTGTCCACTCGAACCCAATTATTCCTGAACCTCCTTTTTGCCCTCATTGTTACCTCAGGGCTTTCTTGTTTGGTTAACATGCCTTTTAGCTACCACACTTCTTAAAGGTTTTGACCCTATAGCAAGCCATTTCTAGGGTATCTGTTGTTATTCAGTCGTGTTCAACTCTTCATGACCCCTTTTGGGATTTTCTTGGCAAAGACACTGAAGGGGTTTGCCATAT